CAGCAGAGTTGCCGGCCCGCCAGGCCAGGCCTCCTGTACAGGCTGAATTTTGAAAATTTGACCTGACCTGTTCTGTCCAGGCAATATATCCAGCCTTTCCAGGCCAGGTCAGGCCAAGATTTTTGACCTGGTTATAATTTTCTGATTTGTCGAGATTTACTCAGCAATTATGGATTAAGAGGAGAAAACATGACATAATATTAAATAGGATACATTTGTTCTCTGACGAGTTTTTATTATTTCTTATCATAGGTATACTATAAACATTTGATTTATTATATTTAAAAATTATGATCAAACTTTTTTTAATTTCGACAATCTCATTCAATGAAACAAACTAAAAGTCTTAATTCCTGTCAATGAGTTTCATTGATTAATGATCAAAAGATATTTCACTTGATTACGAATTTTTTTTTGTTCCAAACCACACAGAAACTGTTCTATAAAGCTCTTGGCAGGTTGTGTTAATGGTGTTGTCAGAAAACCAACTAATAACTTTCTCAGCGAATTCTCTATTACCAGTGTCAAATGTAATGGTTGACAGATTTTCACATTGTTCAAAAATGATTTTTAATTTTTCTAAATCAATTAATGGTATTTCCAAATGTTTGATACGAGGTGGAAGAATCGTATAAAGATTATGTCTCATTTCACCTTGTTGGTATATAAATAACTTGCTTTCAATAATTAATGAAGAGAGATTGTCAGCTTGTCTCATGAAATTACCAATATCTATCCATGCATTTAGATTAAATCTATCAAAATATTCGCTACACAATTTTATTGTAACAATTCGTGAAATATCGATAAATACAGAAAGCGATTGTAGTGAAAGTAAAGGCCAATTTACCCAAAGATTAAGTTGAATGTTAATCACTTTAGAAAACAATGGATGATTTGTTGTTGTTTCCTAAAATCAATCAAACATGAACATAGTTTGAAATTCAAAGGTTTTATTATCTAAGTTTGTTCGTATAATTAAAAAAAACTGTAGATACATCCGTTATTCATAAAAATAATATAATTTATCAAGTTTAATTAAATAGGAAAGATATACCACACTTATTAATCTAACCACATCCTTCTATCTCTGTTTAAGTAAAGATTTCAAAGTCGAATAACATACTTTTTCTTGAATATCATCAGCTATTGATGTCCGCCAAGGGAAAGTCAATGACTTGATGTGATTTATGCTTGTCACATCGTTGTCCATCATCAAAGGATAAGTAGATAACGACATTTTTTC